TACTTTGCGAGAAGATGTGAAATGATATAAACGTGAGTGTTGAAATTAGTCTAAAAATCTAATTATCTTGTCACACGTAAGCTGCATACTAGCGCAAGTGTACTTGAGGTCTCTAACCAATGAGGCGAGGAGATATCCTTGCTTGTTTTCCTCCCTTTCAGCATACCCTTAAGAAGACAACTTCTCGACACGGGGTTGAAGTGTGAGGATCACAAATACTCAATGCCCGTAAGAAGACAACTTCCGGACACGGGGTTGAAGTGTGAGGATCACAAATACTCAATCACCGTACGCAGTGTTGGAAGCTAAACCCCATCCGCCGACAACAAAACGAATTGGACGCTCGATTAGCAAGAGCTATATGCGTCCTGTGCAACTGAACTGAACTGAAAAACGTTGTTCCGTTACTGTCTCGCATTTTCCCGCGATGCTGGAGCAACCGCCGTCCGTTGCGTCAGCCACTCAGAGGCTTGCCCCCCGGAGACAAACTATAGAAGATGCATATTCTCCCCCAGCTAACTTTCTAGAAATTGATGTTTGTCGTCCTCTGACTCATGGTGAGGGAAAAAACCGGTACACAGACTATGAGGTCAATCTAAGGGTATGTTTAAATCAGGCTTCCAGTATTACGGTCACAGACGAATTTGCCTATTTTTGCTCTCAAGGAGTCCTCCGTGCGGCGAAGATACAGTGATTTCGAATGGTTAAGGAATGAGCTTGACCGTGAAAGCAAGGTGAGTAATTTCATCTTATTTACCTGCTTTCATTTTCCGGGTCTCATATGAGACTACTTCTATATACTACTACTATATAGTACTAAACGATATGGTTTTATGTTACCTGGTATCATTGAACAGGAATGAAATATCTTAGTTAACTTTCCGAAAATTCCTTATGCTGTTCTTTCATCACCTCGAACCATCATAGTAGGTGCTCCTAGATTGCTACTACAGTACTCGCATACTTCAAATTTAGCACACTGTTTTTCACAATCACTCCGGCCCAACTGCACCTTTTTTACGCTGGCAAATCCGGCATAGCGAAACTGTGTGCCTTGGCCTGTTCAATCTGGTAGTACAAATCATCGGATTTGCTCTTTTTAGATAAATATTACGGTTCTGTGGATTTTGGCACGGTCTGGGTTGAGACATTTATATGTATCTCCATAATGTATTAGCAATTTGGTGCCTAATAACGACTGCGTTTTAATATACCCAATAATTTTCTTTCGAATAAACCTGCTGAAAATGGTTGTTATAAGTCTTTCACCGTGAACTGTTACACAATAATGGATCCCTTTCGCATCTTTATTTCTTTGTCAGGGTTTTATTCATGTGAATTTTAAGATGTTTATCCTCCAACTGGCGGTAATATATGACCACTTAGTGCAGTGTAAAAGCAGCTGTGCACTGGAAGCACAAAAGGCGTGTAGCGGAACAAAATAGGAGTGCACTGTGTAAAACGGTGTTAGCAGGGGAGTCAACGTCAATTGTGATATATTGCAGTACAATTCTCAGACAGTCGTTTGACCGTCACTCGCAAAGAACTTGAAAAAAAACTTTTTAACATAAATTTCACTCCTTTAGGGGCGAATTAGCTTACCAGTTGTAAACAGTAGTCTATTGGTCTTACCTCGGAAAACTCAAAATTACTTCAACAGTCAGAAACGGTTATATTAGCCAAGCTCAGTTCAGCTCAGTGGTTCAGGTCAGGTCAGGTTGTACTGAAAGGTTAATGACCACGACCTGAATTCCCGTGGTATTTTCATCGCAATTATGCACCCGCTTTGTCGCTTTCCTTTTTTATCTGCAAACAAGGATATAGCTTTTGGCCCTGTTGGCGAGTAACTCAATACCTTGAAGTTGCATCTCTTATACTGGATTACGGTATGAATAATTTTAATTACTTCAAGATATCGCCTGTTCAGGTATTTCCCCAAAGTTGCACATGGAAAGTTTTTTATTACGCCTTTCTGTGGGATGAACAGAAAACGGTGCAAACCCGGTGTTCACGAAGGCTTGCTGTTCAGTCATGAAAACCGACAACCTAGGCTTCGTGACTTGGAATAGTGAATCGTACAAGACCCCGCTAGGTTAGAAGTGGTATTAAGGCGTGATTAAGCCTTCTTGTAGCTTATTCCCTCTAATTACCGTGAAGCCAACACTGGAGAACTACTGTGATTCCGAATTGAAGACTTGGTGACCATTGCTGCAAGGACATATTCAGAGGTTATGCCTCAAACACTGACTCCTGTAGGAGCCCATGGTCGCGCGCTCCTCAATGAAAGCCTGCAATCAAGAAATATCTGTCATATATTATATATTTCACACGTTTGAATCCAGACTGCCAGGCAAATCGTAGTACAACTATCTTTATAAAAAAGAAAATCG